TGTGTGTGTGTGTGTGTGTGTGTGTGTGTGTGTGTGGCATGTGTGCATGTGTAAGAGGATCCCTGCCCTGCCTGCTCAGGGGCTAGAACTCTCCTGGTTACAGTCCCAGCTCTACCACCTAACAGCTCTGCCACTCTCAGCAAGTAGCTTAAATTCTCTGAGCCTCTGTCTCCCCACTTGAAAACCCCAAACATCCTTCTGAAGCACGTGTCCTCACGAGGATTCCTGATAAGAGGCATCGGGTCCTCCTAGGCATCCCCTCTGCTCGGGCTCCAGATGTGTTCCGTGAGTGCCCCGGGCAGAGCGACCTGGCAGAGCAGGAGCATGGAAATTGGTAATTTATCAGCATCGTCATCACATGGAATGGATTGAAATGGTGAATGGAGAAATTACGAGTCTGGAATTCTGAAAGGCCTTTGACAAAGCTTCCCAGCACTTCCTGGAGAAGAAGCACTGAGGCCGGGGTCAGCGTGGGGGCAGCGAGCAGGGATTGGGGAGCAGCCGACAACGCGGGTCCTGCAAGCCAGAGACCCCATGGGCCTCTGCCCTCCGCTCGGGACTTTTCTTGCACTTTGGTCATTGACATGGATGGAAGCCCAAGGGGCTTGGACTATTGACGTGGATTAGCTGGGAGGGAAGACATCTGCATGGGCAGTGAGCTGTCACGGACGTGGGCAGAGGCTACAAGGGCTGTCCACACCCTGTCACCAAAGGGCTGGGGGTGGTGACACCAGGCAGCAGCCTCATGCAAAAGTCCCTGGGGCCTTAGTTGACCTAAGCACAGTGGCACAGCTGCCTGAGAAGCGCAGGGGAATGGGGCTGTGTTAGCAGAGACACAGCGCGCCATCTGGGGAGGGGGCAGTCTTGGTCCCCCCGAGGACTGTGCAGGCGCCTTGCTGAGCTTTAGACATCAGACCCTGCGCCAGTGAATGAAAGCAGAGGCCTCCACCTGTGCGGCTCCACCCGCCCGAGCACTTTGAACCTCCGGAGTCTCTGTGAGGTTGCTTTAGAAGAGAAGTGCTTGTTTAAAAGAGTTCAAAACTACCAAACCGAGTGATATTCTGTGGCTCCAGGATAATTTTTGCAAGCACATTCATTCATTCACTAGGCATGACACCAGCCCTGTCCCCAGTGCCACGTTGCTTTCTCCTCAGAGAGCCCAGACAGACTCCCACCTGTGGTGGTCACCTACCTCCTTGGGGCAAAAATTGGTGGCTGTATCAGACCCAACCTCGGTAATAATAATAATAATAAAGCTGGCAACTACTGTGTTTAGTTGCTTAGTATTTACCGTTTTACTGGGGATAGCTTACCTCATTTAATCCTTCCCACAACCCTATAGAGAAGGTATCATCCTTAACCCATTTTACAGATAGGGACACTGAGGCTCAGAGAGGTCCAGTAATTTTCCCACAGCTTATCTGAACTAAGATTTGAACACAAGCAGTGTGAGAGGACTTCAGCTGGCCTGAGGGGTGTGATCAGCCGGGCTGGAGTATGTAGTCAGGGCCTCCTGGAGAAGGTGGATAAAGTCAGGCCCTGGGGGTGTGGAAGGGGAGGGGATCCAGGGCTTTGTCTGTCCTACTTAATCCTCACTGCAGCCCCCACCCAGTTCACAGAGAGGTGAGGGACCTTGCCTACCATCTCACCGCCAGGGGTCTATGGAGCTGGATTTGAGCCCCATTTGTTTGCCTCTGGCTCCCAGCTCTCAGCCACTGGGCTGTCAGTGGGGTCCACGGTAGTGAGCATTGAGAACCCTGTTTTACTGAAAGAAGGGACGTGATTTGCCCACTGCCCCTCACCCCTAACTAAAGGTCGACTTGGGTCTAGAACAAGATTTTCTGACTTGAAGGCCAGTCATTCCCTCTTCCTGAGTTCAGGGCTGCAGCTGCCTCCAGAAATCATGTCCTGGGACCTGCCCATGAAGGGACGGGAGAAAAGGCTCGTCTCCCTTCATCCAGGGCTGGGTGAGGAGCCACCCTTGTCCCTTCACCCCAAGAAGGAGGTCAGTAAGCAAGCTATGAGGCTAAGCAGGGCAGGGAACTGGAGTCCGGGGTCTTTGATTAACCTTGCCGTGTGACCTTGGGAAAGACCTTCCCCTCTCTGGGCATTATTCACCCTTGTAATACAGTCTTTTGGATCTGAGTCCCCTTCCAGCTGTGGCTTTCTGGGATAATGAGCGTTTGTTAAGCCTGCCATATGTAGAGCCCTGAGCTGGGTCCTCTGGGGGAAATAAGGTCCTCCATGGTAGATATGTGTGGTGAGGTGGGGGACAGGTGAGCTCCCTGTCCTTTTGTTATTCTGTACACTGCTCACTTCATAGTGTTCATGTCGGTCTTGGTCACTATGCCTAGCACATCGTAGGCTCTTGACAAACGGTGAATGAATGATATTATAGAGAGTTTGAGTCCGCAAGGTCATGGTCAGTTTGGGGAGGTACATTCAGAGTAGGCTTCAAGGATGCTTACAGGTAATGCTTATCAGAGGAGCATTAAGTGTAGCCTTGATGGTGGGGGTGGGGAAGACGAAGTGATACTGTCCCACTCAACCTCTTAGAAGGAAGAAAACTTTTCTTTTTAAACTCAGGAATAGGATAAAGCCGTCCATATTGCTACATAATGAGCTCCATAAATTGTGAGACATGCTTTGTGGTTCTTTGTACCACAAGAGTGTAAAAAATTGTGAAATTTTAATCAGTGTAGAAAATAAAAACCAATAAAAAGTACAAGCCCATTGGGGGAACTTGCTTGACAACCACACCTGCGAGAGAAGAACCCATCCAAGTTAGCCAGGCGCATCCCTCCTCCCCCAACACCTGCCGAGAGGCCAAGGCTGGGAGAGCCCAGAGCTTATTCAGGGGTCCAGGTCCCTGCCTTCATGCTGTGTCTCCCAGAGAGCCTGCTGTCCCCCTGGCCCACCACCATTTGTGGTCCCTCTGCATTAGGCCTCGTCCTGTCTGTGGGTCACCACTCTGGAAGAGGGTCCCTCCTGTAGTCCCTAACCCCTAAGAGATAATAGTTAAACTGCAACTGATTAGAGTAATACCAAGCTGTAGAGGTGAGAGGCATTTGGATTCCACTGCCTGGGAAGGCCTGAATAAGGTGGCATTTCAGCTGGGCCTTGAAGGATGTGCAGAATTCTGACAGGTGGCCACAGAGATAAGCCTTCTATGGATGGGAGAGATTGAGGAGGAGGAAAAAGTAGGGGCAGAAAGATGGGAAAAGGGAAAGCTTGAAGAGGGTGGGCAGAAGAGGGGTGTCCTATGGGAAAAGCTCTGACATTAGGCAGGTCTGAGAGCTGTGTGTCCTTGGGTGAGTCATTTCACCTCTCTGAGCAAGGTTTCTTCATTTGCAGAAAGGGATGTTTCTCTGTCATTTCTGTTTGTGTGGGTGACATGAGATGATGGGTACAACCAACATTTACTCTCATCAGTCTTGGGTGCCAGGGCCATAGAGATGGACAGATCCAGTAAGGGCGTGGACTACAGCAAATGTCCAACTCTCCCCCCAGAGCAGAGAGGGCCACCAAGCCTACCTTTTATTGTGTGACGGATGAAATATGGTGTTCAGATGGTGAACAACATTAACTCTAAAATAAGTTAATATCTCATTCCCTTCTATCCTTATATCACCTGGAATTGAGGCTGGGGTGGGTGAGTCCCCAGAATCCCTCTCAGACAACTCCACCCACAGGGAATCCCTCTTCCTGCAGTTTTCCTCTCCCTCCAACTGCCTGAGGGTACCAAGTCCAGAACACCCCAGGCTGTGGCCCCTTGAGCCCCCAAATCTACCCCAGGGTAGACTGGTTCAACCTGCTGTACTGAACGCTGGTCTCCTCCCTGTCTCTTCCATTAGACCCGGAGCTCTGGGGGCTGGGCTCAGCTTAGGCTCCGGTCTCAGAGGCCAGCGCAGTCTGATAGATGCATAAATGGCCTAATGGGGAGGCCCCGCTGAGGTCTGTCATACTCCTCCCAGGAGTGGACCCCTACCCGCCATGGGTCATGAATGGGCCAGCAGGCAGCAGTCTCTCTAGAGAACATCCAGCCTTCCCTCAGACCTGGCTCCACATCTTGAAGCACGCAGTGGGGGTACTCAGCAAACCTTTCAGCCCCTCGGCCTCTCCTTGAGCTAGATACTAGGTCACCCTGCCCCCAAGGTGGTTGCCCCTGCTGGGGTACAACGGTTCCAGGCAAAGGGCTCCACCCCGAGGGCCTGTGACAGTCACCTGCGAAAGGAAAGACGCCCAGGTTAGGGGTCCAGGGTACTCCCAGGAGCTGCGCTAGCCAGTCATTCCCCAGAGGACTGGACGCCTGCTCGCAGAGCCTTAGTTTCCCCCATCTGTACTACCCGGGCTGAGAACATCGACCTCGCGGGTGGAGGAAGGCGCTTTGGCAATCCAGGACCGGGAGGGGGGCGTGGACTCCTCCAGGTGGGTGGTGGTTTGTGACCTCGTTACTGTAAGAGGTGAGGAGGCCACCGACGCGGAGGCCCCCCGAGGCTCCCCGCCCCTCTACAGCCCCGCCCCCTCAGCCCCCGGGGGCTCCCCCGCCCCCGCGCCCGGGGGGTTCGGGCGTCCTCGGTAGCGGCCGGCGCGGCTCGGCTCGGCGTCGCCATGGCAACAGCGGCTTAGGGGGCGGGGGCGACGTGGCTGGCTGTGTGGCTGGCTGGCGGCGCGGGGTGGGCTGGGCCGCGCTGCGCGGGCCGGGCCGTCGGCGCTCGGTCGGCGGGCGGGCGGCGCGGGCCGCGAG